GCGGCTGAACATTGCTTATTTTCACAGTCATTGTAATTTTCAACTTGATACTGATAAGCTAACGGAAAGAAGCGGTAAGGTATCGTCATAATGCGTGAGAGAATATCGTCACTAATGCGTGAGAGAATGTAGCGGTAAGGTATCGTCACTAAATCGCTATCCTTTTTCATTAAAAATGAAATGAGACATATCGTTATTACATTAGGAGCACTTAGGATCAATAAAAAAAATGCCCGATTGAGGATTATATGAATGGAAATATTGTAAGTGGCATAGTGTGAAAATAGTAACAAAGAACGTGTGACAAACTCAGCCAACGACGAGGAATATCTAACAAATTTCCGACAAATGATCAGAATCTAATAATTATTATATAAAATAAAAGTTGTACGCATTATGCATTATACGTACGTATGTACACACGCATCTACTATATAAAAACCCTATACATCACTATTTTTTAAACTTCTTTGAGACAAATTCTTGTTTTCTTAATATTGTAGTATTTAACTTAATAAAAATAAAATGGCTCAAGGAAGGTCTTGTAGTCTGCTATGTAATAAGCTTCGTAAATATTGGTTTCCACCTGCAGATGAAGATTACAAGGATTATGACTCACCTAGAGAACCACCATGTTATCGTTGGACCAGATTTATTTCACTTATCCTTATTTATTGTGCGATAATATATTTTATCGTCATTTTCATTATGGGTTTTAGTGACCCACCTTTTATACAAATGTCCCGATCTGAAATTAATAGCATACCAACTCCTGGTAAATTTTATCAACATTAATATATAAGAATTTGTTTTAATATCTCGACATTAATGTATAATTAATCTATTAATTATAATTGACAGTTGTTATTCTTATTTTTAATACAACAATTTATTCTAACATTAGTGTTAGCTGTTCTTACTTATATCGTAAGTAGTCTTAATAAAATTTAGTATTTATATTCATTTCATCGTTTCATTAATTCTATCTTCAAAATTTATAGCCACTGCTGTCCCTGACACTTCCTGTAGTAATAAAATACTTAATCAAAGTGATCCATCCACCACTTCGATTCTTTATGTTTACTATGATTCTGGTGTCAATTTTACTGATGGAACTGTCTTGACTTTGCCTGTTGGTGTTTATTTCCAAATTTCCGCTAATAATTCATTTCCAAATGATACATTACCGACCTTGCAATCATACCCAGTAATACAACTTATGGATCCAGATTTAATTTTTAACGAGAATAAACATGCTGACTCAAAATTTACCGAACTTTTATCTGAAAGTACTAATTTATATGTTCTTTCGCCATACCAGGTAATTATAAAAAAGAAAATTAATTACACAAAAAAACTAAAGTTTTACTAAACCTAATATAAATATTAATTTGTGTAGAGGCAAATTATATGGTTAGATCGAGTTAAATATACAGATCTTGGAGGTTCTTTAAAGAGAGGTGCTTTATCAGTTGCAAGAAGATCATCTAAGCATGTGTTTAATTATTTTGGACTCGCGACAAGAATCCGTAAGCAAAGAAAATAGTTTATCATACGTACTATATTTGCGGATTTATTAAATAGTTTTAAAGATTCACATATTATGCTACTAAAAATCTGATTCTAATAAATGTTAATTCTGTAAATCCGCAGATATCGATTTTAAAACACATTTATAAACATTTATGTAATTTGTTTTATTTTATAAACAGAAACGTTTAGCCCATTAAATCCTCTGGCCATTAATCCGTCACAATTTACAACTACTTTTGAAGTATATAATCAATCTTCAACTTTAATTACTTATAAGGAAACATCGTAAGTCTTTATTTATTCTTGCCGCTGATAAAGTAATGATAAAATACTGATAAAGTATTTATAAAGTATTTATAAAGTATTTATAAATACCGATAAAGTATTTATAAAGTATTTATAAATACCGATAAAGTATTTATAAAGTATTTGTAAATACTGATCAAGTATTTATAAAGTATTTATAAATATTGATTTATAAATACTGATAAAGTATTTATAAATACTGATTTACAAATACTGATAAAGTACTGATAAAGTATTTATAAATACTGAGAAAGTATTTATAAAACATTTATAAATACTGATAAAGTACTGATAAAGTATTTATAAAGTATTGATAAAGAATCAAAAATATCACAGCAAAATATCAGAAAACATTTGCTTCAACTTAACAAATTCATAATATCAAATTTTAACCAAGTCATATTTGTACTAATAAACATCTCTTTGTCCTGTTTTTTAGTAAAGCATCCCAATTCAAAGTTCTCACCTTCTTTACTTCACTCGGTGGTGCAAACGCATTCTTCGTTACTATTTATTTGTTCTTGTATGGTAAAAAATCTCCAGGTTTATTACCATACCTCATCTATCCATTTTTGTGTTGCTCAGGTCCTGCAAATTTTATATATGGAAAATTAATAAATCCACGTAGGAAGCAAGAAAATGAAGAAAGCGATATTGAGAAAAATTCTAACAAAGCGGTTTAAATTAAAATTTTTTTTAATCGACTAGTTGTCAACTTATGTCACTATTCTAACTCATGAAATGGTACAAAGTATGAGAGATAGTTGTATTGTAGTATATCTATATTTTGCAAATCAGTTACTATATTTAATGAAGTAGTAATGTACGTAGTTATAAGTTGCAGGATCGAAGGTACTGTATTTTGAAAATGTAATTATACATAAAAGAAATTTTATATATATTTATGAATGGAATCTTTACTCAAATTTATGCATTATTTATACAAAATAATAATTGATTTGAATCTAATTGAGTTTATACGTAAAAAGATAAATATCTTAATAATTTAAATAACAGTTCAAATGCACTTATATAAACTTGTAAACGCGATCTTTATTAACAAAATAATTTGTTGACAGTAGAAACAAATTTAGAATCAAAATTAAATCAGTATTAAAAAAAGAAATTGATAATTAAATTTTTTGTTCAAAAAGATTTTAAATAAAATACATAAAAATAAAAAAATCGATTTATCAAAATTTTTATAAATCTCATTGGTGGAATTTCAAAAGCGTGGGTGTTGAGTTTTAATACTCTTTATATTAAGAAGTTGATTTATGTTTTACATTGTTATAACAAATATAATCTTAGCTTGCTAAGAGCTAAATAGCTTCATTTTAAATTAAACGCAAAAGATTGTGAATTACATGTTTTTTTTATGCTCAATAATAATATGACGGTTAGCGGATTTTTTAACTCGAGTGAGAGAAAATATTTTATGAAAAGAATTTTAGGTTGCAGTATATAAACTTGTGCAGACACATCGTTTATAAACAAATGGTTGTTTATTTAATATATATGTATATGTATACTATCAAGATTATGCGCTAATCAAAGTCAAAGTAATGATAAGAATATTAAAATGTTCAAAGCAGCGTACATTAACTATATTGCTAATACAATAGCCAAAATAATAATATAATACAAAATGAAATTTATCCAAATTACCTAATATTCTTTTAAAGGGTACGGATTCCTCAAAAGATCAGCTCTTAACACATCATTAGGAAGAATAGAGCTGACATATTCAAAAATTTTTCCTGCTATGCAGGCCTTGTGTAAACTAATTGCATCAAATTGAGGTGCAAAGATCAATTTTTTATACATATTTTTAAGTTGTTTTTCCTCATCTTTTGTGCGACAATTTCCAAAACCATAATCAACCCTTATAGCAGGTATCATATTTACAGAATCGCTTAAAATATATTGCTTGAGATTATAGACGCTCTTTACTGGTTGATTGTATCCAAATGTTTCTATCTTACTTGCTGATAACCAACTAGTTTTAGTTTTGTCACATTTTCTCTTTATCAAATCTAATACGGTTCCAGATATATAGGCATCATGGAATTCATCGATCTTGCAACCTTTTTCAACTATAAGATCCTGATATAAGTATTGTAACCGAACTTCTTCTGATAATTCACCTGCACGGTAAATATTACGGACTTTACAAGCACAAAATCCAAAATCAATCCAGTGTGGCAGCTCAATTGTAGGAAGAAATCCTTTAAGTATGATTGAATAGAAAATGCCAACATGACGTTTCGATTCCGGAAGAGACCTGAAAGGGACGGCTTGATCATGTTTGGAAAGATGCGGTTTGGCAAGTGAAATCATTTTATCTGCTAAAGGTTTAAGGGATTTTTCACCCTCATATTTACACAGATCTTGCAACAAGTGTTCATTTTTTAAAAACCATTTATAGTATAACCACCATCATCATATGCTTTTTTAATGTTAAGTGGTAGCTCGCCATTTTCCCACCATGAATGTAGTTGAGAGGCGTCACAACCTATAATTTTTATAAGACCAATGTACAAGCCAAAAAGATTCGTTTGATCTAGAGGAGTCATGCAATTTTCAAATCCATATTCATATAGCACTGCAGGATTCGTAGGTATAAGGTCACGATAAACACCTTTAACAAGAATGTCTGCTGATCTTTGAGGGCAAACCAGAATATGATTTGCATAATCATTCTTTTGACATGATTTACTGCAATAATATTTAAGTTTGCATCTTGAGCAACATTTATTTGTTGTTTTTTTGCACATATTACATTCCATTTTCATAAAATTAGATTTTGGAAGAAAAAAATTTTTTTTTAGATAAGAATGCAGTTTGTTATTTTTTTATACCAGAAACGTACGTACGTAGCACGCTTGCATAATGGTTTATTGCCATCTAGAATAGCGTGTACGCAAAATCTTACATTTGATTGGATAGTGATCATATTCACATGTTACATATAACATGTTAGGGCGTATCATTATATTTATATGGTGAATACATGATGTAATCAAGCTTGATACGTACTCATACTGTACGTATATTATGATCAATAATAATAAAATTGTAATTAGCGTTAGTACTGAGCAATTCATTAATAATTTTCCATTTGTACATTTGATTGTACCAAATAAAGTAATATCGGTAAAATTGGTGCCGTATGAGTAAAGGCTAAGAGGTGGTAAGCATCCATACATACGTAATTGTTTTTTTGGACCTTCTGATATTTTTTTATTTTCATAAAAACTTCTAATATAAGAAATAAAATAATGATTTTCATTGGTGCTAAGAATTCGAATCCATGATGAAATACTTTGAGTGATCTTTTTAAAACCCAATAGCAAATTTACCCAGTCGAGTATAAAAAAAAAACGGTTTGCTATAAAAGTTTGTAAATTACAAACTTTATATATATATATATATATTTTTTACTAATAAAAACATTTTATTTATATAATAAACTTCATCAAATTATTATTATCAGTTAAATATTTATCACAAAATATTTTTTTGCTAATAAATTCTATTCACCGACACCTTTTGGTCCATTGATTAAGGCGCTTAGAATGTCCCTTAAAATCACCGATATATCAATATTAATACTGCCAAAAGATTTTAGCTTTTGGGTTATTTACTTACCAGACTTGGTTCCTAAAAATCTTATAATCGATCTGAGAATTCTGACGTGATTCGATATACAAATTGGTTTGGTTTGGGTTAATACCGATTTTCTGTGAATTATTGAAACTGCAATCCATTGCAAATAGTGAATTGATGAGGTACATAGGAATTCTATAAATAAATTAAAAAAAAATAAGTTATAAATATCTTAAACCAATTACTCTTTAGTGATAATTAGTGCGGAGATTCTGTTAAGAAAAAACCCAGTATAATTTTTAATAATTAGAATCTTTTCGCTAATATTGTAAATTTTTTTTGATATTTTTAAAATTATACGTACTGATTGTTACTCTCTCCACCTATCGATTCAAAATTTTGTTTGATAAATATACTGCCAGAAAAAAAGAGCATTAGGATACTTCATATCGCAATTTTGTGTACTGCTAAAATCCTTTAGAGAATTTTACAGAATCATGACAATCTATTAATATTGTTCATATGTTACCATGTACGCCATCGTGTGTAGTAAGTGAATTAGTGCCCTTATGATACACCAATCGAATTAAAGAAACCAGGAGTGTAAAATGACCCTCGTGTATTTTGGGAAAAATAATTAGTTATTTACAGTATCACCCGATGCTATCTATGCTCATGAATATTTACTATTTACAGGTGTTTTCATAAATATTGGGATAACTAAAAGATTTTTCTATGATCGAATTGATAAATTACAGTGTTGAAATCAATGTTGGCGGAAATAATTTTATTATTATGTAGTCAAATCATGCTGAATACTTAACTTATTAATATTCATTTACTGTAGTGCACTGACTAAAAAAAATCCAGGGTTTAATATAAGATACTTGAAAAAAAAACCAATAACTGGGGGTATTTTGACTGTTATTGGGTCAAAATTTTTGAATTTTATCAGAATCACATAATTTTTTACACCATATATATTTTACCCGAGTATTTTGCAAGAGAGATTCGGATTAGATAATGATATATTCCCCAGCAGTTAGGTGAGAATGTGATTAATGAATGCGCAAGAGAGATTCGGATTAGATAATGATATATTCCCCAGCAGTTAGGTGAGAATGTGATTAATGAATGCAAAGTGTGTATTGCTCGACGTATTTCCAAGATTTCACCAATGCGCCCTATTGTTTCTGAAGGTTTTTTAAATCACGTTCAAGTATGTGTGTTATATTAACTTTAATAAATAAATTTATATAGTTAAACAAAACTTAAATTACATTAATTCGACACTATCAGCTCTTTTAAATGTTAAAAGAAACCGTAAATTTTTAAAAACAAAATTTTGATCCTCGACAATTGATACTCAGTAAATGAACTTGAACCACTGGGTACCCCTAATTACCTTGATCTCAACGTTGTACCACTAAATAACATACTTTCGTTAAGAGAAGCAGATGCCAGACAAAACCTTACATTCCCGACTTGTAACAATAGCGGATGCACTAATAATAATCACAAACCTCCAACCTATAATTTCAAGATGGCCAAGCTCATAGTATTAGTGAATACCCGCCAAATATGTTTCTTGAGTAAGTAATTAAAAAAAACATAATAATAATAATATTATTATTCATATTAATTATATAATTTTGTAACACTAGCGTTACGAATAATAATATTGGTTCAAGACATTCGACAAGAATCCTGTCATTGCAAACAAACAAATTGTGGTAACAAACCATGTTCTTTCAGAAAAAGAAATTCATTATGCACAAGAAAATTCGGATGCGTTCTATTCGGAAGATGTAAAAACTTTTAATTGCATGGTTAAATTATATATGAATATTTGAATGTATTTGTTTAATGTATGAAAATTTAGTAGCAATTAACAATAGGCGAGCATCTAATCATTTTTATTCGCTTTTTATTTCTTAAATTTATTTTATTTTAATTAATTTTCGTTTAATGTATGAAAATTTATCTAGCAATTAACGTTAAGAGAAAATATAACTAGAAAAACAGCGACGTTTTGTGGGCTGCAGCTCTAATTCTTAGGTCTTACACTTTAAAATAAATTTAAAATAGTATCTGCATTTTATAAATTACCATTATTTATAAAATTATTTTTATATAATGTTAATGATAGTATTACATTTATAATTTCTACTACTGTAAGATTATATTTATAATAAATTTATAAAGAAAGTAATCTTTGTTCCTCAATTAATCTTTGTTGTAAACGTGCATTTTGCCCTAATTTTTGCAATCTGTCAAAGGAAATTGCACTATCGAAAAGAAGATCAGAGAGAGAGACCACGAACTCTTGATATACCTACAAATGTAAGACCAGTCGCAATTTCCTTACTTCCAAGATTTATTACGGCATGCTGTAATGTTAAACCTTGTGACTTATGGATTGTAATTGCCCACGCGAAGCACAAAGGAAATTGTATGCGGAAGCAATTTCCTGACTCTCCTTCCCAAGTATATTTAATCGGCCGAATTGGTGCTACTTTATGATAGTTCGATATAGATATCGTTGGACCCATATAATTATCCATTTTAACCAGAATTACTGTAGATAGTGAGGGAGGCGTCCTTCTTAATTCATATAAAATATTAACAACCGTACCCATAGCTTCATTAAATAATCCTTGATTAGTTCAGAGATTGGAAATAAGCATAACATGAGCTCCAATTGATAGAAATAAAATGGGGTCAAGACCATTTTTTATGTCAGAAGGTGCATTTTTAGCACAAGTACCATGATGCACAGCTTTTATCTTAACAATAGGAAGATTAAGTTGTTTTAGTTTTAAAATGTTATATTTATCAACGTGGTTCCATATTGTAAATAATCGAATGGCATCTTTAAATTTAGCTTCTTCAGTTTGTGAAACTAATGTGCAAACTCTATTGTTAAGTAGTTGCCAATCATCTTCTGTAGATTTTCCATCTTGTAAATGCAAGAGAAGACTTTGAAATGCTTGCTGTTCTTTTGAGTCCCCAGCTTTTCTTTGTATTGTTTTTAATTTGAATGTTTTATTAAATTGGTATAAATCTTACAACCTGATTCTAAAATAGAATTATGTAATTGTGGATCTGGTGTATATATTGAAAGGTTCAAAAGATGGGAGTTAACCAAAGTCACCAAATAATAATATAAAGAAACTACCAAATAGCATATCTTTATTTTGTGAAAAAATTTGATATAATTATTGATCAAGTGTTGCATGTTTATGACTAATCATACTTTTTTTCATTAAATAAATAATTTTGATATTTTTAAACAATTGCTAAAGTAAAAAACTCTTCCTGTAGATCACTTTTACCAAAACTAGAACTAAAGCAGAAAAAACTTTCAAGGCAAATAACTGTAAACTTTACTAAGTCAACATATCTCCGGCTCCTAAGTAAACTTGTTTGGCACCCAAACTAGCATATAGAGAGTATATAATAGTAGTCACAAGATCTTCTTTGCCAACACCACAGGCAGAAAACAAAAGAAGCAGCCCTCCGGCAAACTTTCACTCTCCTTGTGGAATTGGTCCTATGGACCCTTCTGCAACAACTGATACTGCAACTAAAAGCAAGACTACAGCAACTAATATCAACAACCAAGCTCAATTAGAACCTGAAACAACTACTCAGCAAGCATCCACAAACACCAGCTCCTCCAGTGGCTTTTCTCTTATTAACTCCCTAACCTACTTTACTGACAACTCAAGTTCTAAAACTACAGCAACCACTACTTCAAACAAGCATGCAACCACTGAATACACCAAAGAATTCATAGATATTAGTAATAAAGACTGGTCCAAACTCACATTTATTATTACCTTTCATATCCCAGAATTTGCAAACAAATTTCTCTTTACTGCAGAATTCTTTTGGTTTGGGAATATACCAAATATGGTTAAATTTTCTACACAATAGATATGCAAACACAGTAATACAACCAAATCAATTCTATTTGACCTTACTAGCACCAAATGCAGTTCTGTAAACATCAACACCAAACTGCCTAGAGCTACTTATAACTGTGATATGGAAATAACAATCAAGATATATGAGCAAATGCAGAAGTCATACATTGCGCCAAAATACCCTAAAGATATAGCACATATTCTATACAATCTGATTCCAGATATTGATATAGATGAGGATACCAACCAAA